ACAGGGCTGTGATCGCTAGTCTGGTCCAGTTTGTGATTTTGGAGAGATCCATGTGCTGAATTAATTGAATTCAAAGACAGATCTGGGTCCTTCTGCATGGCCCAACCATGAAAGCAGCTTATGGATAGCACAAGCTGAGCCCTGGAGTACAGACTTTACCAGTTCAAGGCTGGGCTGTGTCACTAGCTGACTGTGACTGGGATTCTGGGTCACACTCAGGGTAGGGTGGGCCCCACTTGGCCAGGCATTCATAGGTTGCTGTGCAGTAGTTCTGGAGGTTTCTGCTGTGAGCAAAGGCAGTGTCAGTCCCCAGTCAACTCTATAATTCCACTGTTTCTCTAGTGTGTTTGGAGAGTAATTTTAATATAGCAGGGCTTGAAGTGCTATATTACTGAGCACCAGCTAAAATCACAAGCAGCCTGTTCTGGAGTTAAACTCTGTGGAAATACGGAGGTGATAGTGAAGATGACACAGTAAAGCCATCCCAGTTTGCACCATCAATTTCAAATGTGATGTAATGGAAGGGCAAAAATTAATATTGGTCATAGAAATATTTAGAATGTTTTCAAATACTGCAGGTAGGCCTTGCCAGTCATCCAGTGCTGTTCAGTGGATGAACAGGAAAGCATTTATCGTGAAGAATACCTGTGCATCTGGACTTACATTCAGCATTTTTAAGCGGTTTACTTTTCAGTAGTGCCTAATTGTGAGCGGAGTAAATTACACCTCACGAAATGGCAAGTTATTTTTCCCCTGTTTCTCAGTCGGTCTCTAAATAAAACATAATAGCTCTTTTAGCTTGCTTTTCAGGCAGGGATCTCCATTTAAAGGTATTAGCACCTCACTGTGGGTCTCTCGTCTGTGTGTCTTATCACGTGTGCGTGACAGAGGAGCGGGGTAAATTAACTTTTTTTTCTCCCACTGTGCCGCAAAGAAATTAAATCCAACAAATCCGTCTGTAGCAATTAGTGCTTCTACATAATTGATTTACTTCAGATTATAATGAAAGCCGATGTTTGGATGTAATTGTCACATTGCATGGATTTTTTAAAGCATAATTGCACCGCATCCTGAAATAGGCTGGGACGATTGCCAAGCCTCCACTTCTGTCAGTGTCGTGCAAGAGCTGGGAGAGCTTTCTCTCCCCCAGCCGGGCTTCACGAGGGCTGCACTGTCAATAAGGGAGTGCTTTGCAAGGGCAGGCACTGATTAAGTCAAAATTGCACGCTCACCGATATGAATGCTAATTGCACGTTGCCGGAAAACTGGGCACAATTCCCATGTGCACAATTCATTCACCTGTTTATTTCAGAGGAGGGGGGTGATACACCTCAGAGAGGTGGGAAGGGGGGTGAGAAGAAGATCAAGGCTGTAATCCAAGGTCGGGATCAATCCCAGGTGGACCGTTATTCAGCAGTGCGGAAGTTCGAAGTGTGGAATTTCCCATCTGACCCCCGAGCCGAACCCACGCGTGCTTGTGTGTTTCATTAAGGTCAGTGACACGACAGAGGAAGGAAGACAGAAGAATGTTAAGTATTGAGAGATTGCACGTGTGGAAGGGGGTCACAAGGGGGTCATACGAAAGAACCATCATCGACCACTTCGGGCCAATATGTCTTCACCAAAATACGTTGTCTGTTCATACTTACACCTTTGATACGTTGATACTGTTCTCCTGAATTGCACACACGTTAAATTCCAGCTGTTGATCAGACTGAGTGGACAGGTGATGACTGTTACCAAAGTAATGAGTGGACCTGAGTGAATTGCTGTTAATTAACAGGTGTTAACTATTTTATACTTGGTATTTGGTACACATATAAAATAGTTTGTTTTTCATTTATTGGGTTTTCCTGCTCAGCTTGATAATGGAATGAGCGTATTTAGCTTAGACCAATGTTCATCGGTAGTTGTGTTCAAAGGACAATGTCGTTGTCTTTAAGTGTTTCAGTGCTCCTGGGACCATATGGCCATGCTAGTCTAAGCCAAATAGCGCCTTCCCTGCAGAAAGAATTGCAATGGTACACATCCAAACAGATGTTTCTCAATTAAAGACCATGGCAAGTTAATAACCAGACAGGCTGGATGGCTCAGGCTTGGAATTTAAAAGATAAGCGCATTTCTGCCTGAAATATGACGTCATTCTAAAAGAACACTAGACTTTTTAGAGTCCACCAGTCTGTTATTTTCTGCAGGCTGAAGAAGCTCATCAGTTAAAGAGAAGTGAGACTCCACATGTTCTTATGGAGAGCTGGCTGACAGAGGAGGTGTGATCCTAGGCGTGACATCTGTCCAGTCCGGTCAAGAACTGGAAAGTCACCCCCAGCCTAAGCCAATCAATTACGAAGCTAGGGCTAAAATAGGAAATTGTGAACTATGACTGTGTGCAGGTCCGAGAGACAATTTCAGAAAGTCGGAGCTGAATTGTGAGTACTGCCCAGGAATGCGTAAATCAGACGATGCTCACAAAACATAACCTGTGGCCAATGGTATCAAGTTAACAGTATCAAATACTTTTGTTGAGAAAGAACACAAATAGTCCCAACCATACTTTGTCTTGGACATGCTGAATCTAAAGGCCAGTATTCATTCTCACTGACTCACTGACTTTTCTTAGCAATCATAATGTGTTACAAGTAACATAATAGTGTTTTGGACTTACTGAAGATTTTCATATATAGTGCAGTCGTAGTATAGTATATACTGTAGTAAGCTTCAATGCTGTAAATGCTTGGAGATTAGTTATTTTTAGTTTAAGTTCATGTACTAATTTCTGGGACTAGCAGTTTACTGATTGGATATCTATATGTAATTGTACTGTAGTTCATTACGTTCTGCTGAACACTATTACAGCATTACTGCTCGCAGTGCCCTCTGAGATGGGCCAATCATGAAAATATCACAGGAAAATAGCTTGGTGCTTTTACACAACCAGTCAAAGTGCCAACAAGTGTGGCGGTAAGATGTCTGAGCAGTCCTGACAGTGCCAAAAAAAAAACAGGTCGTTTCACTCTTCGGTAATTCTTGAGTATCGTGTGGTGTGAAACTCCTGTCCCATCCCGGAGAAAATGACTGAAGCCCCTGGCTTTCTGTCTGACTGTAAGCTCTTTTCAGAAGGTGCCTGCTTCTGTCTGGCACCTTACAGGACAGCAAGAGAGCGGGTGTTTGAACTCTCCCAGTATAGCTGGGCTGCAGCATTTGGAGAGGAGCCTAACGAGGGAGCAAGATCAAGTCTGGCTTTTTTTTCCATCTTTGAAGAGTGTCGCCAGGAGGGCCCGGGTTAGCCACCTCATGCGCCGTGGTCCAAATTAAAAGCGGCTTTTTCTAACCGTCTAACTAACCCCTCTGAAATGTTGCAGAAGAGCAGCCGTGCTGGTCTGGGATCATTCTCTGTATATGGGCATTGCATAATGCTAAGACCTGGGCTTGGGAATGGAATGTACCAGATCTCGGGATCAGACAACCCCATCAGCCTTATCCACACCAGAACAGCAGGCTGGGGTGCAGGTCAGGGAAATGGATGGCGACAGAAGCACATGAGATTGTCGGTGTGTGCCACTGTTCTCATGTTCTAGGTTTTAAGTCCCTCGAGTGTGCTTGAGAGCAGGCAGTACTCCCCCCAGGCTATGCAGGATCATTAACAACAACATCAGCAGCGAAAACGATGTGGGATAGGATGAAAATTCACTTTCACTGGGTTATTACTCTGTTACTCGGGCTGTTTGTTCTGGGGAGACGTCCGGGATTATTGTTTAAATTCTCTTCCACCACGACACGGCTCCTGCACTGAGCCAGCAAGCTCATCAACTCATGGCTTTAGAAACTAGAAAAAGGCTATTTTCTGCCATTCTGAAGCCAGATTCGTCGGAAGGAACTTCCCTGCTGCTCTTTTCGTATACTGTAGGTGGTTATCTCCCTCGGCCGATGTCTGTAAAAAAAAAAAGGCCAGTGCAACCGTGTAATCGTGGTCTTCTGACTCCCAGCAGGAAAGAGGACAGCTGATACAAGAAATGAAAGAGATCAGATATAGAGTGTAGCCTATGATATCACCTTGTATCCAATCTCGTAAGGTCACGGAGGCTCAGCAGAGCTAGGCTTGGTCAGCACTGGGTGGAAGACCTCTAGGGAAAACCAGACAGCCGCTGTTAGTGGTCCTGGTGGACCAATAAGTGGAGCTTTTCCCTCTGGATCAAAAGTTTCCAAGTAGGGTTGTTAACCCCAGAGACCTAGCAAATTCTGCCGTGCTCTTGCGCAGTCTGTTTTACATAAGGTGACCTTTTAATTGTTGGTGGAGCCATTTCTACATGGTCTACTGTCTAGTGGTACAGCTGGTGCAGAAAGGCCACCACGCATCACCCAGTAAATGCAAGGATTTCTTATGATTAATACCTGGCTATTTATCCTTCATTCATCTTTCGGTGCTTCTTATTATTAGAAAATCTAAGTACTTGCTAGTTGAATGCAACAATTCAGTCTGACAGTAAAGAGGTGTCTTTTTAAGCTGAAATGTTCCACTTTAATCGTCATTCCTGTAGAACTAGGATTTTTTGGGGGTTTGTTTTGATACATGCCAGAGAGCATTACCACCCTGTAACCTGATCTGGTTAGATTTCGGAAGCTCAGCATGGCTGGACTTGGTCAGTACTGAAGTGGGAGAGCTCGAGGGAAAACCAGGCTGCGGCTGCTGTAGAACTTCCAGAAAAATGTCTCCGCATGTGGACTGGGTCCACTGTACTCGAAAAGGTGCTGTCCTTCAGATGAGACATTAAAGAGGTCCGAATATCTTAGTCCACAAAGCTCCTGGAGCACAGGGCGTTAGGAGTAGGGTTATGTCCTCGTTCCAGTAAATTCCAATTTGGTGTTACCCAGCATCCCCCATCTTGATCTGGCAGGTCACAGTGTGCTCGACTCATATTGATCTTCCCGGATATCTCAGATTCAGGTCAGATGCAGACCTGTATTTTCACATACACTCACACTTCCTCCGTGTGTTTCTCCAGAATGTGTTTGAGAACAAGCCGTCAGTCCCGGAGTACAAGGTGGCCACAGTCCAGAAGTCGCGCTTCATCCTGCTCCACTACAGCATGTTCAAGGCGCTGTGGGACTGGATGATCCTCCTGGCCACGTTCTATGTAGCCGTCACGGTGCCCTACAACGTGTGCTTCACCGCCTACGACGACTCCGACTCCGCCTCCCGCAGCACCATCGTCAGCGACATCGTCGTGGAGATGCTCTTCATCCTGGGTGAGCGGCGACCGTTTCGGCTGCGCTGGAGACCAGACAGGAAGGGCGAACTCGGCGAGACCGGGTGACTGGAGGGCTACACCTTTGCAACACCTTCCTTTCCCCAAAACTGACACAACCAGCACTGAACCCATACAATTTTGGTGGGATGCAGTGTTAATCCCAAAGATGGCCGCTCCACACCATTGGTTTCTCAGCCTAGCACAGACACCCCATTTCTGAACTACTTGTCTGAGCCACCTTGTCTGAGCTAACTCCTCTACCTGCTTGTATCCGTCAGGCTGGTAACAGTGTGACTGCAAGCCATGTGCTTGTTGCACCCCCTGATCGAAACAGACAAGGTGACAGAAGTGCAGCCCCTCTAACTTGCTTTCGTACGACAGATATAATTCAGGAACTTCAAGTTGCCAGCTGTGCTAACAAAGCTAAACAATAAAGAGTCAATTCTGTGGATTGCGGCTCAGGGCAGGTCCAGCCTTCCTTGTCTTGGATCTCGCTGCTGCAGAAAAGGCAACTGTGTAGATGCAATAGGAAATAGGAACTGCAGACAAACTGGAAAAACATATACTGTACTTCTAGCATTATCTGTTATGTGGCATAGACTTCAGCTGCAAGCGCTGGAATTTCGATCACCATCGTTCCTTTCTCCTGCAGACATCATCCTGAACTTCCGGACTACCTACGTGAGCCAGTCTGGACAGGTGGTCTACGATGCTCGATCCATCTGCATCCATTACGCAGCCACATGGTTCTTTGTGGACCTCATCGCCGCCCTGCCCTTTGACCTCCTGTACGCTTTTAACATCACTGTGGTAGGTATTCGCCAAGCTAAAGCTGCATGCGTCCTCCACCATCTTCTTGTCATTCTTTCCCTTCCTCTCGGTCTTGTCGTTCTCTTCGTCTCCTTTTCAGTTTGTCTTGCACGGTTCGGGTAAACGCCTGCACAGTCGCTTTTTTAAAACCAATACCGTAGAAGACATTGACAAACCAGACACTCAAGCAGTAGTCTGTCTGCCGCTGATACTGAAGCTGTCACATTTTTTAGATGTAACTCGCTGCAGAGAATGGTTAGATTTCTCAAGAGCTCCAGTAGATCCAGACTCTCTCCTTTATAAATTGGAGAGTTAGCATTTCAGCAGTTTCTTTTCATGTTAAAAGTCAACACCATCTGAATCTCAGCTTACTGTTGCTGACATGCTTTTCTGTATATCTTTAAGGATCAAAGTTTCCTTTAGTACTGAGATTTATTTTTTTGCTTTTTATGCGACACATGAATTCACAGATTTGCAAAAGTACTTTTAAAGTGTTCTTTCTCCAGCTCTTCACCTTTTCCAACTTTAGATTCCCCCCCCCCTGCTATTTTATACCCAGAGTTGTTTAAACACATGGATTTGGACTTCCATACGTGCTTCTCCTCTTGCTAGATATTTGCCTCTAAACCGCTATATCCGCTTGCTGAAATGAAGCTCAGCAGGTGTGAGCCTGGGCAGTATCTGGATGGGAGACGAGGTGTTAATTGGACCAGTAGGGGGCGCTCACCCTGTGGCCCTAATGCCCCAGTATAGGGGGATACTGTGCTGAAAAAAAAGGGCGCAGCCCTGTGGATGAGACGTAGAACCGAGGTCCTGACTCTCTTTGGTTGTTAAAGATCCTGGGGCGTTTCGCGAAAAGAGTAGGGGTGTTACCCAGGCGTAGGGGTGCTACCCCTGGTGAGCGTACTGGTGCAGTCTGGCTGCCATCATATTTTGCCGGTGGGGGGTACACACTGGTGGTGGTGGAGGGGAGTCTCCATTACCTGTAAAACGCTTTGAGTGGAGTGTCATATATGAGTAAGGAGGATTATGGTTCCCCCACCACCTGTGTCCTGTGTGCTCCTCTCTTGCCCGCTAGACTTCCCTGGTCCACCTGCTGAAGACGGTCCGGCTCCTGCGCCTGCTGAGGCTGCTGCAGAAGCTGGATCGCTATTCCCAGTACAGCGCCATGGTGCTCACGCTGCTCATGTCCATGTTCGCCCTGCTGGCCCACTGGATGGCCTGTATCTGGTACGTGATTGGCCGCAAGGAGATGGAGCACCACGACATCACGACCTGGGACATTGGTGAGTAGACTTCCCTCGCTGGCACTCGATTCTCGCTGGTCTTTTTAGTTTCTTTAAGAGTTTTATTTCAGAGTCAGATATCCCAAAAGTGGCAGAATCTCCCTCCACTGAATATCTTTACGTCTTCTGCCCTTCATGGGGAGAATGAGGATGAGCAGGACTCTTTTACTGGCTGAGCCTTTATCATTGTAATTATTTTATTTGATAATTATTTTCGACATACTGCTTGTTATCTGTAGACAGTGTCTCCCATTTCTAGGCAGTCATTCAGTTCTGCAGTTCAAAACAGCTCAACATCTGGTAAGGCAGTAAATTTATAGTCTCACTGAGACTTATTGCATTTGAGACAATTATGCTGTGAATTTCACTCACAGGGGACATTGACAATATTTTTTTCCCTTGTGCCTTTTACAGTGATGTTGATATATTTTCTGATTTCTGTCTTCACTATGCTGATCGTACGTTAATCCTAACAAAATGTCTTGTATAGAATTGCATTACATTGAAACGTCTCATAGTGCTTTGTGTTGGTTTTGTCAGTGCTTTCATTTCAATTTTAAGAATTTATTTTTTGAAAAAGACAAGTAAAAAGGTGGGCATCCGGATTTTGTGTGGCAGAAAGATACTGGTAAATTCTTTACAGCCCTACAGGGTTTATAAATTTAAATGTGTGGATTGTCAGTTTTCATTCAATGGCATAACTGCACATGGTTCTTGAAGTTCAGTGCAGGTTAATAGAGTTGAGTTGTACCCTTTTCCTCCAGCTGTGACTGACTTAACCTTTGCTGTTGCACGAGTCTAAAGAGTTGCTAATTGCACAGTCTTGTTACATACCATCAGCACTCTGCAATTACAAGTAATCTCTTCATACTCAGATACAAAGTGCTGGGGGCCTTGTCAGATATCTTGTATTGTTTTCCAATCGGTATGTAAGTCAGACAGAATAATTAAACCCACTGGATGTTTATCCATCGTTAAGAAGGGCTTAATTATACCTGTACCCAGCTGGGCTTATCCATTGACACTCTGGCAAAGATGTGCAAGGCAATGTGCCAGCGTGGCTCTTAAACAAACTGTCTAATGAGAAGTGATCTCAAACACCGGCTGAACAGTTACGCACATCTTACCTTCTTAGTCGTTTGCTGAAGATTTAGCCCAATCTGCTGCAAAAATGCTACGTTTTTTTTCCCTGCAAAAAACAAAAATGTTGGCATTTATATTACCATCTTGGCTCGTAAAAAATGCCAGATAGCTTCCTTAAAGGGCGCGTTTGATAACCATGAGTCACTCTCAGCATCTGAATGTTAAAATACAGTATTTAAAAAAACAAGTGTGTGGAGTGGATCTCTTACAGTGCACGCATCGCTGGTTGTTGGCTATGAAGTGTACATCCTTGATTTGCCCAAATTAAAAGTATAACCTAATCTTTTCCTTTTGTTTTGCCATAGCTATTTTTCTAATATCACACATTGTCACCTGGTGGTCAAACAGTGTAATTGCAGTTTACTTTCTTTGAGCTGGCCAATATTTAGACCAAGGGTCAGCAACCTTTCAGAAGGGGCGTTCCAATCTTAATTGGGCGTTAATATCTAAAATTAATAAATATGTACATGTTACTATTTATTTTTATCCTTGCCCTCATTTTCCCTTTGCTAGCTAGCTCTAACCTCTGGCTCATGGCAGTTTAAAACTGCCTGTGTGTTAAGGCAGATAAAGCAACAAGAAAATTCACTGTTTTCACCACTGTAGACATCACATTGTGAAGATCATAATTCAAAATCTTGGCACAGAGCTTTTCCGGATGAATAATCCAATGAAACTTTACCATGTGGCATGGATCCACCGTGTGCTCTGCAATGATCTTTACAAATCTCTTCTGTTTTCTGACAATATCAGGGGCACCATCAGTTTATCACAGACAATATTTTCTTGATGTCAATCATTTTCAGGAAAGAGGAATTAATAAGCACCTTAGCTATATCATCCTGTATAATTTTTCCATGCACGGGTTTTAGGCTGCACAGCGCTACTCGAATTCCTTCTGAGTCACACCATCTCACAGGAATTGCTAATCGCAGTACATCATTTATATCCATACACTCAGAGCACACACAGAGTGGACGTTACGTTGAGCAAATCCATATTCAGGTCTCCACAAGGGCTGAAATGAGCAAACCTCCTAACTTTCCACCACCGTCTTGTCCACCAAATTCAGTATGAAATGTGAAACCAGTGGCCTGGGTTGCAAGCTCGCCTATGAAAACAATACACTTGCCCCGGAAAAAAACAAAGCAGTGAATAAACCAAGTGAGTCTTTTTTTTCCATATGAAAGAGTTTTCATTTAGCGTGCTGCAGAGAAATCCAAATCGGGTATAGTTTTTATGGTTTTTAAATCTATTTCGTTGTGGCTTACCAGCCTCTTATCCCGTTAAAAATCCCACTGAGTGCCAGTAATGGCAAGAGTGCCGAAGGTACCGCCCACTGACTTGGCCTCTGCTGACACATGTTTTCTAGGATGGCTCCATGAATTGGGAAAGCGCCTGGAAACTCCCTATATCAACAGCACCCTGGGAGGCCCGTCCATTCGGAGCGCCTACATCGCCTCGCTGTACTTCACCCTGAGCAGCCTGACCAGCGTGGGCTTCGGAAACGTCTGCGCCAACACCGATGCCGAGAAGATCTTCTCCATCTGCACCATGCTCATCGGAGGTGCGTTACAGGGGCCGCCCCTGGCTGACGGCTGTTTCTGATCGAGACCTGCGTGGAAAAAACTCCAGGGCGGCACAGTGGGGCAGTGGTGGGCATCACTGCCTGGCAGCGCCAGGGCTCTGGGTTCAACCACGGCCCTTGATCACTATCTCTGTGGAGTTTGTTTGTTCTCCCTGTGTTCACATGCTTTTCCTCCGAAAGTCCAAACGTATACTGGTAGATTAACTGGCTTCTAGACAAACTGGCCCTGGTGTGAGTGTGTGCACAGCGATGGACTGACATCCTGGCCAGGGTGTATCCTGCCTTTTGCCTGTTGCTTGCCAGGATAGGCTCCAGCTCCCCTGTATTGGATAAAGCAGTTAGAAAATCCTATTATTATATCATTTCCAAATTGTTAAGCAATATCTGGTGGCTGAAGCAAGCACGTCCATTGCACACAAGTGGTGGATTTTGTAGAAGCAAAAATATGCGGAACAGGGAAAGGAGTAAACGTTTCTGCTGTATGTGAACCAATCTGAGATGAGTAGCCGACGTGGAACTCCTCCTTGAACTCTGACCTCTGACCCCCCAGCTCTGATGCACGCGGTGGTCTTCGGCAACGTGACGGCGATCATCCAGCGCATGTACTCGCGGCGCTCGCTCTACCACACCCGCATGAAGGACCTGAAGGACTTCATCCGCGTGCACCGGCTGCCGCAGCAGCTCAAGCAGCGCATGCTGGAGTACTTCCAGACCACGTGGTCCGTCAACAACGGCATCGACGCCAACGAGGTATGGGAAAGCGGTGACGTCTTTTTCCCCCAGAAAGCCCCAGTCGGGTGATCCCTATGCTACCAATCAGGGGGCTCCCCATGGATTCTCTGATTCCACATGATGCATAATAGTACCTCAAAACAGGCCAGTGCTCTCACTCTCTTCCTTCCGTAACTCCCGGCTTTGACTGAGCGCCCTGCGGTACTCGTCACATTTATTTACTACATGAGCTATAAAACCCTATTTCAACTGACACTCATTCTCACCAAGGTCAATACAGCTTCATTTCTATCGTATATAATATATCCCCTGACTAGAGCCTTGAGCGTCTTGTGGGCTGATAGCCATTGTGGCCCGTTTGACTGTGGCTGGAGTTTGCAAAGTCAGAAAAGGTTTTCTGAAACAGAAAGATGAGAGTCGCGCATAATTCAATCTGCTGTAGTTGGTTTGAAAGTCCTTGATTTGTGTGTTATGTGTTTGCATGTACAGTATGTTTGCCAGAATATGGAAACGGGACTGGAGTATTTAGCAAGTCTGTATAGCCCCGCCGAGTGGCTTCTGATCGTGCCATGATGTAGCAACTTTGGTGTTTGTTTATAACAGTAAGGTGCTAAAACTAACAGCTTGGTCATTGCGCTCTGCAAGGACAAAATTGGACAATATCAAAAACATGGTGACAGAGGGTGAAGGAATCAGCAGATTGGGTGTGGGACAAACAACCCCACTGGCACTCCCTCAAGAATGTGGGTCCAAACATTACAAGACCCCCTGACTTGGACAATCTACACTGCAGGGATACTAGAGACTGAGGGGTAGCCGTCGTGCATGAACACACTGTCATTTCATCCCCCCCCCTCCCCTCTGCTCCCCTGTCCCCCCGGCCGGCCGTGTCCAGCTTCTGCACGACTTCCCGGACGAGCTGCGGGCCGACATCGCCATGCACCTGAACAAGGACATCCTGCAGCTGCCACTGTTCGAGAGCGCCAGCCGCGGCTGCCTGCGCTCGCTCTCCCTGCACATCAAGACCTCCTTCTGCGCCCCGGGGGAGTACCTCATCCGCCACGGCGACGCGCTGCAGGCCAACTACTTCGTGTGCTCCGGCTCTCTGGAGGTGCTCAAGGACAACATGGTCCTGGCCATCCTCGGTGAGTTGGTCCTGAAAGGTTTTCGGACCAAAGACAGGAAGACTGTCATATTGGCACAGCAGACCGGCTGCTGATGTACCACTTCCCTATTTTTTCCAATGTCCTGTAGTGCCACCTGGTGGTAGGATCGTGTCGCTTCCTCCAATGCACAGAGCACATGACTGTGTTGTTAAACACCCCCACTGTCAGGGAACTTCAGATGCTATCATCTGTCATCGCTCAGCACTAGCAGCAAGAGTTTTAATATTTGTGAACTTGTAAGGTTACATTTTGGTTGTGTGTGGAAATAAATAGAACACTACTCCTTATGTTGTGTTATGTTGCTTTAAAGAGCATAACATTATTGCTGTATCATGTCAGTTTCTGTTATTTTTATAAGCGGAATCCAAAATAACAAAAGTGTACAATAAGCATATAATTACACGTTTTTTTTTGTCTGATGCAGTTACTTAACCAGTCATATTAAGAAACGCGTTTGTGTTTCGTTTTTTCAAATGCAGTACCTTACGTTAATTCTGCACCTTAAACACTTAGGCCCTACGCATAACATGACACTTATATTAATTACTTACCCCCCAGATAAAAGCACCCTGCCATGCTTCTCCCACTTAATTAAAAGCCAGAGTCAATCTTAAATGATGACTTGTTGTATTGTTTCCATTTTAGCTGAATGTGAAGATTAATGTCCAGCAGATTAATGTCCTTGAATGTTATACTGTGCAATTGCTATTGAGGCGATGCAGAATTAACAGTGGCAATTAAGAAATAGTGTCCATTAAGAAATCAAACTACAGGTAAACGTGATATAGACTAGGTGACACAATGAAAAGGAATGCACACCTTATTGGTTTGGGGTGTGCTGTAGCTCCTGTGTTCTGCTCCCCCTCCACAGGGAAAGGTGACTTGATTGGGGCAGACCTGCCTGGCCAGGAGCAGGTGATCAAGACCAATGCAGATGTGAAAGCACTGACCTACTGCGACCTGCAGTACATCAGCCTGCGGGCTCTGCGTGAAGTCCTGGAGCTCTACCCAGAGTATGCCAGCAAGTTCACCGCCGACATTCACCACAACCTCACCTACAACCTGCGGGAGGGCAGCAAGGCAGAGGTGAGCCTTCCTTCGACCTGTTGCACATGGCTGAGATCGACACATCCATCAGTCCATTTGTCCATCCATTCCCCAAGCCATCTGTCCATCTAGTCAACTGATCATGTCAGTCATCAAGACAGCTGTCCATCCATTCATCATGAAAGCTGTCCATCCATTCAACGTCATCTGTCCATTTATTCATCCATTCATCATGCTGTTTGTCCCTCCATTCATTCATCATGTCATACATTCATCATATCACCCATCCATTCCCCAAACCATCTGTCCATTCCATTCATCCATTCATCACGTCACCCATCAATCAATTCATTCATCCATCAGGGTTTGAAGGGTTTTCTGAGGGAGCTGGATGAAGCTCCATAATGAAGTTCCTTTAACTCCTTTAAATTAAGTCAACGAGCACTCTCGGGAGTTTTCCCCAGTCTCGCCCTCCGAGGGTCACCCTGCCTGGAAGAGAGCTGTGTCTAGGAAAGACAGTTAACACAGCAGGCGATCCGGCTGGGAAGCAAAAAAGAAAATCATCCAAGTCAGGAGAGAATGTAAAGACAGATTACTAAACTGCAATAGAAATTTGTAAGCTAAATTCTGTTTCAAAGATTGCAGCACAATGGTGCTACCTGCTGGGCAGACTTTACAGCACTTTTATATAGGCTGACACAGATAAAGTACACATTTCTTTCCGTGTGGGGGTTGGAAGTACGTAAAAGCATTGTTTTTTGCCGAAGAGGCAGAACTTTATGAAAAATCGAGAGTGCTTGTAATTGATTTATTTCATTCACTGAGTTTTGAATAAATAGCCCACGTCTCCGAGAAAGTGGCTGCAACACAGGGTTACAAAGTGGCTAATCTGCCAGATGTTCATCTGACTAAGAAAGTGTTCCCATGAATTGAGGATGATTGTCAGATTGATGACTATTTCATAGTTCACAACCTGACAGCTTGTGCAAATAACATTCATATACAGTATAAGCCTTATTATCCAAAGAGTGGATTACATAATTTTTCACTTTCTATAGCATACAGGTACACAATAACCCCCCAGTGTTTGGACTTGAGAAAGCATGGGTAGCTGAAAAGGCACCGAACTTGTCTCGCAAGATGAATTCAATGGTTTTTAAAGTGCTAAGGAGTGCAATCTTTAGGCTCTGGAATCTGGTCTTTTAGTTTTGGGTACTGGGCTCCAGCTCAGGACTATGTGCAATGCCAGGGGCGCTGGCCCCCAGCCTGTGGGGTGGGGAGGGGAGGGGTGATTCACCTCTCAGACAGCACTACTGCCTCCTGTCGGATCCTGGACAGAGCAAGTGCAATGTGCACTGAAATCACATTGCATTGGGGTGCTCATTTGGCAGAGATCAGTGTGTGACATTGTATAAAGCAATGAAACGATTCAAGCCTCCACCTATCCTGATTATTAATATGTGGTATTATCTAGCATTTTAACTCCTGGTTCCTATGAATACTTGAATAAATCATGGGAACGGGTAAAGGTTTATTCCATGCTGAAAGCTAAAGGAAAAAAGACACAACGTTTCAGTTGTGGAGCCTTCTTCAGGTGTGTCTGAATAAGCCTTTACCTGTTCCTTTGCAATCTAAGCAACTACCTACTTGAATCAATCATAACAGATCCATCGATTTTTCTTGTTTTTGTCTCGTTTACTATTGTAAAGTCGCATTTCCTTAAGGGTGATGCAAGTTCATTTTTTAATGAGCTAAAAACGGCTGATTTTAACATTCTTTTTCTAAATGTAAAATTGAGCGAGCTTTCTCAGCTTTGAGAACTATAATTACTTCATACGATGGTTACACCCATGCAGGTAATTTTCTTTAATGGGCCCAAGAAAGATGAGCTCAGTGTTTTATATATGGGACCTCAACAGCAAGGTACCAGAGTTGATGATGTCGGTAATTGCTGTATAGTTGAAAAATGGCTTTTTAACTGCCCCCCCTTTGCCTCATTTTGTGCAACTGCTTGTTTGTTTTACCATTCTTTTATAACTAATGCTTGAGACATTCACAATGTGACCTTTATTTCTGGTACTTCTTTGTTTTTCAGGGTCTCTCAAGATTTGCCCGATCTCCAAGACTCTCTCAGGTACTGTTTTTTTTATTATTTTCTTTCAATTATATTCCAGTTTAGACTTGACAATTATTTTTTTTCCTTTCTAGTGCTGGTAAGCTTGTCTTCTGCAACATGCAGTCAGTACAGCTGCTTCCATTAGTGCTGGGATTCCTGTTGAGGAACAGATTTTAAATACTAACTGGACAGGGAGGCACGCAAGTTATTAAATCACCATGTCCCCAAATCCCTGCTGTCCTCAGACCATTTTTGTGCCAGTTGATAGCCCATATCTTCATGTTGTGAAGTAATCCCGGGTCTCTCAGCTTGGGTATATTCATTCTTGCATTTAAAAAAATTTTGAAGCTCAAACGCATTAACTGCCCTGGAATAACCCAGTTTCTCTACGCCCAATCCCAATCCTCGCCTCACTAAGGCAAATTACAGTTGCAAGATGAGTTCCAAAACTTTGTAACATAATATTTGCTCAAACTTTAACCTAGTGAAAAGAGACCTGACAGGAAAATCTTGCAGTTCAGGCGATGCTTTCCTTTCTCTTGAAGCATCATTTTAAAATTTCAGTTGTTTTTTATTGGAAGGTTTTACCTTTGGAATTCAATCTAATGAGAATTTGCCATGGTAACTCTGTACTGTAATTTTGCAGTTTTCCTGTGGCTGTACCGTGCTTTGTCATGGGCCTTAGCATGTGTTAACATACCTTTCTGCATTATGACATTTATGCAATGCGTTCTTTGTTCTTTGTTATGCTTTCCTCTCTCTTACCTATATATACGCCACTCATACACTTCATGGTATAGGAGTTATTTAAATAGCACCACAGAGATTTCTAAGTGGACAGACTGGGCCATTGCTTTCAAATGGAAGCATTTCGCAGCCTTTTTATTTTTAAAGCTGAGTTGCATATGGACACCAGGCTGAAGGTTCCTCTCCAGTGACAGAACACACTAAGAACAGACTGTACAGATTCTCTTCTTATACAGGTTGCCTAATGGACATCAAGTCCAACATATGACAAAGAATTAACCAGGAGTTATTTCAGTTAGCACACCAGTGCAGGGGGTTTCCAGGCTGAAAGGGCCTTTGCATCAGATTACTCAGCCTACAAAGAATGTCTTTATAGCAGTAATGGAGCTAAGTGCTGCACTTTACCTTCCGGCTTATGCCAATAATAAGAGGTATCTCACAAGAGTGGGCCATTGATGTGGGGAATTGCAGTCCATTAAGTGCCAAATCGAGAGAAAAGGAGCTGTACAGCTAGAGCATCTTTACTGGGTTTTCTTTTTTTGTATTGAGCTCAAAACGCCGTCCCACTTGAGAGAAGATATGGTCGTAGGCCCTATCGAACAAATCTTCAGGAGCCTAAGAAATTATCAGTGCTTACTTTATGTTCTCAGTAACAATTTGTGCTTCCTGATTTTTTTCCTCACTCTTAATACCAGACTCTTTGTCCTCAGGGGTTATACATGCTGCATGTTTGTCCTACATGCTACTACTGTACTGTGCACTTCAGTCTTATCTGTGCTTTCTCACCTACATGAAGGTGAAGTGTGGAAACAGACTGAAGGAGTTATTGCTTCTGCAAAAACAACCCTTTTTCTCCCACCACAGAAGGCAGTTCTATAGTTAATTGCTTTTTAATAATACCACTTTCTGAAATTAAAGATGCTCTTTTAGAACAATATCATTACAAATTGGGGGTTATGGAAACAGCAAAAATCAGGAAATGTATCCTGGATACAGGAAATGTAAGTGGATAAATCAATAAGTAAAATGAATAATCATAACCCCCACTTTATGAGAGGGGTCTGGGATGATTGTCTTGGCAAGATTGGAGCTAGGGCCGTGTGAATAGATAGATGAAATGGAAGAGCCAATAATTCTCAGTACACATCGCCTTGCTATGAAGCTGGAAATGTTGACACTAGCCAGGTATCCCCATTGTATCTAGTTTACCTTCATACCAATATTTCCATGCCTGTGTTTGCACAGCGGCCAGGGCTTGAGTCTGACGGGGCTGTTTTTCTTTCCCAGAACCGCCTGGAGAATATCTCGACCTCTGACCACAAGCTGCCGTTGATCGTGGAGGATGAGGATGAGCCCGAGGAGTATTTCCACCTCTCGCCCGCCACCAAGTCCCGCAGGAAGCTCATGCTGCCCAGCCTGAGCAGCCCGGTGCGCCGCGGCTCGCTGGGGAACCTGCTGGGGGACGAGCTGCGGCAGTTTTCGGCCCTGCGGCGCTGCCGGTCCCCTGTGAGGGGCAGCCGGGGCAGGAGCCCCTCCCCACAGCACCAGAGAGAGGAGCCCCAGTGCGCCGCCCCCAGCGCTGAGGCCTGTGCCAGCCGCAAGCCTGCCAAGCTCCTCATCCCCTCTCTCAATTGCTTTGGCCCCCCTGACCTCAGCCCCAGGTGAGAGGGGTCCCCACCAAAACCAGGCCAGGGAATCATACAGACCTCCAGAAACTGTTCTCTCCAGAAAACATGCCATAACTTTCATCTAATTGAATACACTCCAACAAACAAGCTCTCATAAGCTCTCAACAAACTTCAGCTGATCTGGTCTGACGCATTTCCAAACATACTGTTTGCTGGGCAGTAGCTCAGAATAAATTGATGAAGCCATTTCTCTGAAAGGTGGTTTGGTCCTATGGTGATCTGTGGTAAAAGAGACATATAATACTATTTTTCAATTCTTCAATTTGTTAATGCAGTAAGCTGACATAGAGCATGTAGCTCACTGAAGAGTTAACAGCCCCTACAGAAAGCAAAATTGTGCACCTTTATAGTGTGCAACGTCTTGATAATAGGCTTGCCGAGATTGGCAGCGCTTGAGGGCATACAATATCAGTGAATTAAGCACAAATTGCAATTTTCAACAAGTAAGAAAAGAAGTACTTCCATTTCATAGCAGCGATAATGCAACAGCAGACTCAATCAAATTCCTGATCCCACATCCTTCCTGAAGTCCGTGCCAGGTGAATCAGATAAAGGCTCCTCAATTGTGCACGCTCTCCTTCAATTATGATGTCCCTGATCTTCTTCTTTTCAGAGTTGTCGACGGAATTGAGGATAATGGGCGGACGTCAGAGGCACACACGTTTCACTTTAACGTTCAGCACGGCGAGGCAAAGGCCAGCGAGGAAAGTTTTGTCAAAGGTATAGTGGCGGTGGACGTGGGTGTGGGCAGCCTCTGCTTCCACCATACTGTACCTGGGGCCCAGAGAATTTCAGATCGTGGCCATCTGAATTCGGGACCAACCGCGGTCTGGGTGTGTGGGCGTGGTTCGTCGCCTCAGACAGCCAGTGACTCTCTCTGGTAGCGCTGTATCGCACAACCTTCTGGCCAAGAAGGAAACAAATTGTGCAGTACTGTGGCAACAAAACTGCTCAATCCATCTGGACCTTAAGATCCCAGACCCTGCCCAGAACCATCGACAGCGGGAACCTGCAAGACATTCTTCTAACTGCTGAGATTCTTCTCTCTCAGGGGCAAAACCTCCTTGATTGCTTTCTTGTGGAAAAAAGAATGTAGAAAGAGAAAACAGGCATTCCTTAACTCTAATCACTGTGCTGATCTCCTCAGTATTGGGCAAAGCTACTTTTAAAAAGTAATCCATTAAAGATACAAAGTACTTGTGTAAGGGATTACTTTTGAAAATGAATAAGGGAGAAGCGCTTTTAAGAGGAAATGTATTTAACCAGTAAGTGCACACAGACTACGTAGATCACTGAAAAGGGTGGCTTTTTAAAAACACTATGGCAATCAAGTCTACCAGTACAGGTAATCAGGAGAAAATTAACATTGTTGTCAACTATTAGTGATGATCCGAGTCTTGAAGGCACTGGAAAGTGTTTCATGCCAATGCACTTGTCCTCCTGTCCTTTCCAGGGCCTCACCAATAGTTTCCATGATCATATCGCACAGCATGGCTGAAACGTAGGGTAGCCCCTGCTGAATATCATATCGGGCCATTGCAGACCTCAGGCGTAGTGTTAACCGGAGGTGGCTCTGGAGCCTGTCTCGTGCTCCTCACACCAGACAGCCATTGACGGAGTCAGTTCATGAACTGGCAGTGGGGAGGGTGCAATGCATTGGCAAGCGAGAGGAGCAGATTTGTCCCCACTGACAAGCGGACCCTGCGAAGAGGTTCCTTCTCAGTGTCGTCCTCTCACCGTCTTGCGTGTCTGCTTCCCACTGTGCAGAAGCCAGCCCCGTGAGCGCCACCCTGCTGCTGGAGACGGAGGAGGTGAGACAGAGCATCAGCCGGCTCAACCAGGAGGTGAGGATCAGTGAGAGAGAGCTGTGTGTGTGTGTGTGGGAGGGGGGAGGCTGGGCTTGAGCCAGTCAGGCCTGCAGCTCTACAGCCATGGGGAAAAAGCTAACACCTCCTCTTCACCTTTCCATCCTGAGTGCTTTTATTCCCATTGAAAATGAAAGGGTTGCAGGAATGCACAAGGGCAACACAGTGGTGCAGAGGTTAACATTGCTGCCTTGCAGCGCTGGGGCTCAGGTCTACCTGGGATGCTGTCTGCCTGGAGTTTGTATGTTCTCCCCGTGTTTGCATGATACTTCCTCTAGGTGCTGCAGTTTTCTCCCACAGTCCAAACACATACTGGCAGGTTAATTGGCTTCTGGGAAAACTGGTCCTGGTGTAAGTATGGGAATGCAGGGTGTCTCCTGCCTTCTGCCTGTTGCTTGAAGGGATAGACTCCAGCTCCCCCATGATGCTGTATTGGATAAAGTGGTTAGAAAATGGATGGATGGATGCACACAGTATTTTCCTGATCTCTAGTTCTGAACGGTGCAAAGAAACGTTATTGTAAACTTGAAAACCACTTGGGTTTGGTTGCTAATGGAACTGTTTTCCAAGAGGATGCTGAGCATGCAGGAGCAGAACTGGAGGGGAGATAAAAAAACTAGGGCAGAGAAAATGAAACAGAGACAAAACTTTCTGTTGGGATGGGGAGAATGAAAACCTCAGCAGCCAAGCCAGGTGATCTGCTGAATCAGGGAATGTGAAATAAGTGCTATTTTTTCCTCTCTCTATCCCCCTCATTCCTTTTGAATTTCTTTTCCAGTGTATTTCCGTTTCCCTCTGGGGAGTTCTATGTGTCTAAAATAAGAGACCATGTCTGTAGCTGTGGAGAGATGGGACAGGCTCTGTGTAATTTGTAATCCGTGTGACAGCAGGGCTTTGCACACCTGACTCTGCTGCTGCAATTAAAAATCAGCACAGAGGAGGTGTGTTTCAGCAGCCTGGGGGAGAGGGGGATGGGGAAGAGTTGGACTGGGAGCTTCTTGGACTCGGTTTCCAACCTTTAAATGAGGGGGGGGGATTGCAGATTGATTGTAATTCATCATCAGAGGCAATTTAAGGAAAAGTCAATAGACGGCCCTTTCTCAGATAGATAATTCTTTATATAGAACTCTGCTGGGCATTTCACTCACATGCTCTTTACAGGTATTGGGGACTCCCCTCCACCACCAATTTGCAAGTCCGCTCACCTCACATCAGCTCTCAGTGGGGAGGAGAACAGAGTGATGGAGCCAGTCCATAGATGGGGATTATTAGGAGGCCATGATTGGTCAAGACCTGGGGGGAAATTCATCCAGGAGGCCGGGGTAGCAACCCCTACTCTTTTCAAGAAACACCCTGGGATTTTTAATGACCATGGGGAGTCAGGACCTTGGTTTTACGTCTCATCCAAAGAATGTCCCCACCACCATACTGGGGCATTAGGACCCACACAGACTGCAAGGTGAAGCTCACTACTGGTCTCCTTAACACCTCTTCCGGCAGCAACCTTCAGGTCTCCCCTCCAGGTACTAGCCAGGCTCACACCTGCTTAGTTTCATAATTCCTGATGCTTTACCTTTTTTTGACCATGCCTTGCAGATGAGCCACCTCAACCAGGAGGTTTCCCAGCTCACCAAGGAGCTCCACCACATGATGCACTTCCTGCAGGCCCACATGGCTGTGCAGCACTACACCTCAGCCCTCTCCTCGTACCCTTACGGCGTGCAAATGGTCTCCAATCCTCCTTCCAGCAGCAGCATCGGAGTCAGCGAGTGGCAGCCCCGAGTCTCGTACAACCTGGCCGCGGGGATGCACATGCATCACGAGCCTGTGAACATGGAGCCCTTGAGCCACGGCAAACCTTGGAGTTACAGTGGAGCCCCTGGTGGCCGCGGTTCCACCATGGGCGGGCAGCAGGTGGAGATGGAGAACTACCTCCCCTTGGTTGATCACTTCCATCCTCCTTCCAGTCCCCGGGCCGCCTGTTTTCATGGGGGGTGCTGTGCAGATGCAGGCAGAACTATGAACCCAGGGGCAGAGGGCAAGCAGAACTTGTGCCAACCCTCCGGAAGCACCACGGCTCCACAACAACCCCAGAACTGCCCTTCGTTGCTGAACCCTAGTGGTGTCTTTGCAGGATTTGCTACAGCTCCCCAAGCTGGCTACAGTGGTGCCTCACCTCATAGCGGACAACAGCTGCGGTCCTCAGTGAATCTCAGCCAGTCACACCCGACCCTGTGCCAGCCAGCGCCCCCCAACCCTGAATACAATTACTCCAAGTCCAACACCCCGACTCCAGTCCATTCGGCACTGATTACCCCCAGTTACACTCATCATTATACCTCGGGGTCCCCCAGCCACGTGCATTCCAGCTCGGGCCCCAAACACGAACAATTTGCGTGTCTCTCCCTTAGTCCCAGGCAGAACGACCCGGTTGGCTCCAGCCCCTTGCACGTCCTTGAAGTCGGCTCTTTGGAAATACGGGGTCCCATCCCATCTGCCTCAGCACCTTCCCAAAATTCCAGGAAACCGTCTTTGGGCTCTCAGGATTCGAATGTATCCGGGACCGAGACCTCAGACTCTGGCCATCCCCTCTGTGACACAGGGAGTGCAGATCACATTGGTTTAGAATGTCTGTCCACTAAGTCAGGGGCCACTGAAGGAATAGACATGGAAGCCTCAGAATCCAGGAGATCCAGCATAGGAACACAGACTCAGGACAATGAAGTCTTCTGGAGCTTAGAGATGGCCGACTAAGCCTCGTGTTCTTTGAAAGGATGGCTGGAATGTAGAGGACCTGACCAGCAAGCGAAAGGGAGTACAAACATGCTTCCCCATCCTGGCTGATCACTGAAATTTGCTTTCTCCCGATGGATTTGTGTTGTTCACATTCCTTGTTACGCTCATCTGTATTGATTCAATTATAACCTCAATTCCTTGATTAATGGAATTGCAGTTGTCTATGCAAGGGCATGAAATCCACACTGAGTCTTTTTCTTCTACAGCAGACATACACAACCAGCTCTAAAGACTAAAGAAATAGGAAACATCTAAGAAGGTATTCCTGATCATCTAAACAGTTCTCTTCCAAGGTTTTCTATGTATGCAAATAGTAATGCTACAGGTCTTTGCAAGTGTATAAATGTACAGTACATACTGTAGCTGCATTGATTACATTTGCTATGACCCTGACAGACAAGCAGTTACAGCAGTAAGTACAGGAAGGTCAGATCAGTCTTTGTGGTTAACGAACCTGGTGTCAAGAGGTGTTAAAACAAGGAATAGAGGAGAAGGTTTCCAAAACCTTTTAGAATTCTATAGCTTTCTGGATTTAGGAAAAGGCTAGAGCAGGCTTAGGTTTAATACTGGCATACCTTCACTTGTGGTAAAGAACTTCGATTATTTTTCCTAAGGAAAAGGCAGCACACTAAAATGATTTTACATTTGAACACAGCCCTGCGAAGAAAGCACATATCTTGAAGGCATTATAATAGTTTAAAGAGTTTTACCAACACGCATGATAAGTGAATATTTGGAACTGCACTGGAAACTCCAGTTTTATCTGTATTGTAAAGAACTGATATGCCTTTTCAATCTTTTTAAACCAATATATATCAAACATGTTTTCTATGAAGCGCGAACAATGCACTGAATGTTCGGGATATAACCAGTTTTTTTTATTGAATAGATGTTTCTTGGCATGTGTTTGTACCATCTTTGCAGACAAACTGGGGACAAGGTTTTGTTGCCAGTTAACCATATGGGATATGGTAGCCTCAAATGTCAAATATACAGCTGGTTGCAAAATAAGTCTTTGAAGATTGCTTCTGTATGTCAATTTAATAACTTTTAGGTAATTTGGTGCACGCCGTTTAATCTGCAAGCATTCCTTTTTTGTGATTTGAACCATTTCAAATCCGCTTTTTGCAGTGTTTGTGTTATCCTTTGTCATTCCATATTGAGGCACCAGGCTGTTCCCCAGTTTTGCTGCTGTTTATTTCTAATATACAGCTTTTGCTATATTCTGTCCGTTTCGGCTGGGATTTGTTTGAATGCGTTTTGCTGCTACAAGATAAATGTTTTAAATCATTCTTTTGGTTATCGCAACCCTGCAAAAAAAAAAATCCCTGAACCACAAATACTTGCAAGCTATTCCCAAAGTAAAAAGCCATTGTTCTATTTTAGATTATATTGCTAGGGAATTAATGGATTAGATACTTTTGACTAATGCTTGTGAATGACTTAAGATTTAGGATAAGAATCTCTGCAGACTATTTTATACTGCAAGCAGAGGGTCATGTGAGGTTTATGCATGGTAGCATGCAAACATATTTCTGTTACTGAACTAGGATAAGTCTTTGACCTGTGACCTCCTTCAAGTAATTATTAGCTTGTAAGTTACTCCTTAAGCTGAACCAATGTATCTGTCTGAAACAGTCAGAAGGTGTATTTGGGTTTAAATAGCCTATATACATTGTGTAACAATTCAATATATACAGAATTGAAGGGTGCTGATGATGTTTCATGACAGTGTCTAGGCTTTATTAGAAGAGTCTCTCTCACTTTAAGAGATGTATAATCTACTCCTTAATAACATCTGCAGGGCTCAGCTGTCAGCCCGTTCATTTGAACAAGCTCACAAGGTGTCTCGGAATACCTCTCTTTTTTAATCTCCTGTAGAAAAGTATTAAAATTTTGATTGTTTAGGAGCAAGAATGACCCAAAGCTTTGTTCTCCCCTGGGCAAGTCTAGTCAGTGCACAGCATGTATTATTACATACAGTGTGTTCTAGAACTGATGTTTTAAAATCCTGTGTTTATAGGGACATGATGTTAAAATGACACTCATATCTGCTGTCTTGAAAATTTACAGTACTTAAAAAACATTTACATTCTTAATAGAGGGCAATAGAGTAACCCTGTCAAACTATATATAGCTTTAATGTAGTAGAAGCCACCATTAGTGCCATTACATAACTAAAATACAAAGCCCATATAATACTTGTATACTGTACAGTAGCTTCATTTTGTATTTGAAACTGCAATTGATGAAAAAAGATACAATTTTTCTAAAACGTTTTTTGCAAAATCCCAATTGAACATTTTCCTTGGGTTGTCAGAATCAATATTTTCCCATATCCAGGACTCCCCAGCACAGACACTCCAACAGGCAGAAACAGGGGTCATTTCAGCGTTTAAAAGACCATGGATTTGAGATTCATTGAATTGTAATTCACTGGGCAGGGAAACTGATCAATAGGATAGAAAATACTGGAATGTATGTATGTTCAGAATGCTGTTAGAGGAGGTAATTTATGTGTAATTGTAATCATCTATTAAGGAATGGTGCATACTATTCCCTTTCAACCTGTCTGTTTTTTACATGCACTTTGTAATGGCTGCATTCTGAAAGTCAGTGGACGCTGGCTATCATCCAGGCATTTGGAGCCTACCCAGAAGTTTGGCCTGATAAGGCTCCTGTTCCTTCAGGGACTCCAGATTGCATTACATAAGAACTAAAGATGGTTACAAACCTGAAGAAGTCATTTGGCTCATCTCAAGTTCGGTTAATGGTCATCTAGGCCATTTTTGATGTTCAACTTTCTAAATATGAAGGCGATGTTGAGTGAACAGGTGAACAAATGATGGTATGAACAGGCTCTAACCATGCGGGTACCAGTGAGGTCACCATTGGAGACTCATTGAAAAGATGAGTGGAAGAGATTTTCTTGTCTATAATACAAACAGGCGTCACTCTGAATTCAGAGATGCCTAAGGCCACATGAGTTAAAGGAGCTAGTCACTTTCCCATCCACCACCTCTTCCACAGTGGTCATCGTCTCGTGAGTGGTGCTACAGTAGGACAAGTGGTCATCCTGGGACATGCTGACCTACAATGATACACTGTCCACTGTGCAGTGAATTAATGAAAACAGCCTGGACGTTATTGAAAAGCACTTTAAAATGGCTCAGTCAGTCTGTTTCTATCTGAATATAGGCAGAGCTTTCACCCCTATAGACATGTTTTATTTCCCAAAGAACACTGCTAAAGAACCTAGATGACTTCACGATGAAGAAGCCCAGCACAGTACATAGGACCATAAGGAAGGTTACAAATGGTCCGTTTATTAATTAACGGTTAATTGAAATTCAGAGAGCATACCCTTTGTAATTTGTGTAATATTACACAAAGTGTATGCAAGGCAGCTCTGCAGTCCATGAACCATGTTGAACAAACACAGGGTTCGTGCAATGCAAGGTGCTTTTCAAAACTGACACAAAGTTGGTTCAGGCAAAGGTACTAAGAGATTTGGATGGACATAGAAATATAATGCCCACAGCTCCTCCCCTCTTCCAAAACAGTGTAAGTCAGGAACTGAGACAGCAGCCCCGTCTTCTTTGTTTTGAAGAAATTGGGTTTATTGCTTACCTGTACTTATTTCTGTAGCCACTGAATTCTACAAGTTCCTAAAGTACACCCCAAAGTACATTCATCAAACATAAAATCAAACCTATAGCCTTGATGAAACAGGTTAAGGCTTTGTCCTAAATGTATTCTTTTGGTGGCACAATTCTACGAGCACTTTTATAGCAAGATTGTTTCTATACGTGGTTATTTTGTATTTCCTGCTGAACGCAACTGTGATACCTACTGTGACTGCTTTCTAGTTGCTTGCTTGTATATCTGATCCATTTGTCAGCACCATAGAGATTCCCATTGGGTGAAAGATGGAGGCTCCATTCAGAATGGTCACGAATCTGACTGCACATGAATACAAGCAGCGCCATCTCTGGTTGGGTTGGGAAACAACAACCCTTTACATTTTCAGACTATTATAGCTTTTCTTCCTGGTTCAAATCAAAGCAGATATTACAGCTGGGATAGATGCTTCTCCAGAATGTCTAGGGGTAATTTATCATCTCTTTTCAGCAGGGTAGCTATTTCCAGACAGCACTGAATAGCAGCGCTTCGACAATGAAAATTGGTTTAAGATTAATTAGCATGAAAATACAATGGCCACTGTTTCCTTATTGTCATTTGATGAATTTGTAAGCAAACTGTCTGAATAAAAAAAACACACTCTGCTTTGTTACTTACATTTGTCTCGCGTATTTTTCTGCCACAATCGAGGAAAAACAGGCTGTGCCAGGAAAAACAGGAATTGTTATCCCTTCCAATTTCCAGTCAATTCATTTGTTTCAAAGTAAACTTCAAAGATGAAAACCTCTAATTACAATTCATCGTTTTCAGGTACTTGTAACTTTGATGTTGCGTGTTACACGTTAAGTGCACGTTAAAATGCATGGGGAACTCCTGACTCTATACTTTAAAGGGGTAACTGAAGACACCTATGTATTAAAGCATCACATTAATCTTTCAGGCTGCTGATTCAGGAATCCCTGTGGGAGGTATGAATGTTCTGTAATGCTTTTCGTCCTTTAAAAACAAAGACCTTGGTTTAAAATTAGCAATGCGTAGCCTGGTGCACCATAGTTTTGTGCCTGCAGCCCGGAGTTTGGTACCACATGGTGGAGACTATGGCATTACGCAAGTGGATCTAGTCAGCTGAGCTCTGTTTTTTGTGAAGTACAGAGAGCCCTGTCGGTTTTTCCAGCCGTCTGTGGAACCTGGGAAGACGCAGGATGTTGCGTGGATGTGGGCAGTGCCGTCCCAGCACCACCTGAGCACCACCTTGCTTGCTGCCTGTCGCTGTCCCCCCCCCCCCCCCCATGTGACCCGATCCTCTCGCCCCCAGGCCGACGGCTGCAGCTCCTTCTGTGCCGCTGCTCGCCTGTCATGTCCACCTGCACCGCTGCTCTGTTGCGCCTCGTGGGCCTGACCTGTGAGGAGTGTCGGCAAGCCTTTGCCCAGGTCTGATGGTCTGTGCTCTGTCATACCCAGACGGACAGCAGCTAGTGAGCAGGTTACTCCCAGGGCTCCGATTCCCCCACCTCTTCCCCCTGCTCAGCCGGCACCCAGTCCTCTTATTAATTAAGTCCACATTCGCTATTTAATTCCTGAAACGCCACAAGGAAGGTGCTTTGTCATCCGAGCTCCTGCTAGACTCAGTCCCGACAAGTTACCAGCGAACCGGATTGACTAGAAACCTCTGTCCTGTGACTTGGAACCTGAGATCTGAGGACTGAGAACCTGTCTGAGCCCTGTCCTGCCTACACCTTTCCCCTGGCTTTCTTCCCTGCCTGTCCCAGCCCCCCCTCTCGTATTTTAACTGTCAGCCATTTTGTTTCTCTCTTCCTCGGCAAAACCCACACTCACACCTGTGCCCTAAGCCCCCTGCCTGCAGTCCAGGCCTACTCTCACACCTGTGCCCTAAGCCCCCTGCCTGCAGTTCAGCCCCACACTCACACCTCTGCCTGCAGTCCAGCCCCACACTCACACCTCTGCCTGCAGTCCAGCCCCACACTCACACCTCTGCCCAGACAAAGTGCCAGGAGGTAACAGCACAGCCTACTCCAACACCATGATGCCTGGAATTGCCCTTCTTGCACACAAGTCTAATACACGAATCCCCAGAGCAGAGGAGCATGAACTGGGAATGGTGGGAGACCCTTGCCGATCAAGCCATTGTTTGCCGAAGTCCCCCTCTACGCCTCCGTTCTCAATTTGTCATCAATCAGTCTCAAGCGGTACAAACTGCAAAGTATTTCCATATCTATAATTTCTCCCTCCTTGGTAAAATGAGAGAGAATGTCAGATTTAATTACACAGCCGCAGAGTTGGGGGGGGCCAACATCTGCTCCCTGTAATTTACACTAACAAGCATCAGCTGTTTCCATTGCTTTGCAGATTTTCTCTCCCTCTGTTAAATAAGAGCGCTTCAGACTTCAGTGTGGCAATGGAGCGGTCTTGGGCACTGCAGCAGTACTGCTGAAATACCTGGTGGCCAAGAGTCAGCTTCAGCATGCTACATTCATGGATCTACTGTGGGTTTTGATGAGGCCGAACTTTGCTGACCCTCCAGAGTTGTTCTCTAAGGGCATCGGAATGATTCTGGATAAACCCACTTAGTCTTCTTGGTTCCCGATGTCCAGCAAGTCTCTCACTGGGCTCATTACATCTCTAGTAAACCTGAGCTGACGTACTGCAGCACATAAACAATCTGTGTAACAGTAGGACTGTCACTGCCAGTTGCTCCATGCTACAGAAATAATTCACATGAAATCCTTTCTCTGTACTGTCACACACAACAGACAGAAGAATGACAGGGCACAGTGGTCTTCTGTTTTGTAGTCGTCCTCTGGCTATATTACTCCCCACCCCTGGGAACTATTCTGACACCGGTCCCAGTGGTCCTCCTGAAAAAAGAAAAATTGTGCTCCGGAAAATAAGATGATTGATTTTAGCCTGTGAAAAGGTCGCCGAGCTCTGTGACATACAGAGGTTGAGCCAAAAGGAAAATGGGACCTTGCTGTATTTACTGTAATGTCTGTGGAACCGCTGTCTTGTAAGTCTGTTGCTCCTGGGCTGGGGGGATTCCTGCAGGTGTGTCTACCTGGACAGCTGTGTGTGTCTTTAAAAACGAAATGGGGTTCGCTATGCAGGATCATCGTTCTGGTTCGTCTACAATTATTTAGTTCTTTCAGTCTGGATGATGTGTTGTCATGATGTCTTTCATCCTATTATGTGTAGAGCAGTGGGAGAGAAAGCTTTCTAAATGACCATGTGAACAGGGTGCTGGGGTGTAGGATGTCGCAGTGCAGTTCAGTGCGCTGCAGAAGTAAGTTAGTTGGCTGGCCGTCGAGAGAGCAGAACAAACTCAATTGTCTGCTCTGAAATGGTTATTTTCAAGGGCTTTTTATAATCCAAATACAGCTCCACTGAACCTTTTCTGTTGGCATAAATGTCACGTCTAAGACATAACCTACTGTACATTTAAACACAACAGAAAGCAAGAGGCTATACTATGATATAGGAAGGTTTTAAACCCCCACCCAGAATGCTTATTCTGATGCCCAGATGTCCAAGAACGTCAAACCCTTTCAGTCTGCTAAACTTGTCACTGCGTGATTCAGACAACAGGTATACTGCCTTTATAACATAAGGAAACTATGCCTAAATTAATTCTGCAAGGTGCATTAAAAGTAGCACCACAACGGCAGGCAGCTTCTGTACTACATTTCTAAAACCCTGCAGTTGCGTAAGATTTTTCTACCTTTTGCAGCAGCAGTTTATAAACTGAAGCATCCTGCTGCGCACGTCCCCTGGGGGCTGTGTTTTTAGCTGCAGATGACACAGATCATCCATTTCGGCCGATCTCGGCGAGAGAAAGGAGCAGCTGACACAGGGAGCTCTGCAGTCCCCCAGGGCAGGCATGCTCTGATTGGAAGTGGAGGAGCAGAGTGTGGGCAGGTGAGCGCTGTGCTTACACAATCACCTGCCTTTCTTTGGTTTCCTGCTGCTGTTGCAAAAATTTTTTGGGCACTGCAGGATCTCAGATGTTCTGTCTTATAAAATTATCTGGGTGCGATTTGTCTAAAGAGTTCAAATTAGTATGTGTAGTTAAGACTTGCAGATTGTGTTTTGTTACCTGACTGATAAATTACAGTACATGTCTTAGGTATACTTCATATACTAACAGAACTGTAGGGTTTGACGTTGGCTTATAATTAGGATATAATTACAGTGACATGTTAAGATCTCTAAAGGAACAAACACTCCAGGCTGATGTGTCTTCTGATTTTGCTCAGGTACAGTGCATCCTTTAGAACCTCACCTACCAACAGTAAAGGGGATCAGTGAGAAGGAGGTCAGCTTGGATGATCTCTGCCTGTCCCACCCTCCCTTACATGCACCTCAGCTCCAAAAGTCTCATCATTTCCCCCTGAACTCCTGCAATGGAGGAGACACCACTCTAAAATGCTGTGTGCTGTGCATTGTGCTGTGTTTTGCTTTCCTTAGATGGGTGTTGAGCAGAGTCTTGAGGGAGTCCATGTGGCTAATGAAGCTCAGCCTTCCAGCGAAGTGTCGGCCCCCCGCCCCTGTTCCCACCCCCTGCGCCGCACCAGTCTGACATGGCCAATTAGCCAACAAGGGAGCACCTGAGCACATGACGACACCACCACACTCACAGGCACAGGCTTCCCTCTGGGGACCTCGCTGCCACAGCACAGACTTGCACGTAGCATGACCTCGCCACAGCACAGACCAATGGGACTGAGCTTGCGAATAACCGGAAGAGCCAGAAAAGAAGAGCTGGAGTAAGTGAGGTCTCGGTAGACCAGAGATTTAGGGAGGCCTCCCCAGTGGCTCAGCTCTTAAAGGCACTCACCAGAATCACAGGTTGAACTCTCTGAACATGCGTTTAAGCCTGGGTCATGTCACTGGCGTATTACTGACTGAGCACCACCAAGAGTAGGGTGGGTATAGTTGACCAAGGCTCTCAGCATCACAGCGCCCCCTGCAGGCTACTGGCCACTTGCAGGCCTGCAATGCTTTAGATGAGGGACACCTCTGGCCTGCAGTTAAACCATGGGACCTGGTCTGTCTGGTATGATACCTTATGAAGCACCAAAAAAACCCCCACATAAACTGAAGCAGTTTTGTATTCAATCTCTCCCACATCTCATCCCGAGAGGCGGAAGAGAAGATCATACCTCAAAACATTTGAGAAGCCCAATTCTGCAGTAATGGTAAAAAATGTTTTTTGTTACACAGCAAATTACCAATGCATGGAACAGATTAGACAAACCAGGTTGTGGAGGTGGATATGCAGGGATCTTTGAAAATTTATCTTAATGTGGCAGTTGAATAACACACTGTACAGGCAAATGATAAGCGCTGGTGTGTTGAGCTCACTGTTCTGCTCCAGGTTTGCTTACACCCATCTTAAAGTTTTTTTGGGGCTATGCTGGACTACAACAACACTATGACTTGCGATAATACACATTCACACGCAGTGACCACCTTGGGTGAATCATAGCTGTGTTGCAGTATTTGTAATGAATTTATGTTTTGTCGTAAAACAAATAAAGAAAAACAGAGGTAAGTGTACAGGTTGCAGAATTACCAAGCAAACCTGTCTTGGTTGTATCACACTGTTGTGCGTGCTAATTCTCAAAAGTGAGATGAGTGGAGATTTGTGTTACATAGAACTCTCCATATGCTACAAGCTGCATAGAAACAAATCAACAGGAATAATTGCTGGGATGCAGTTGTCTATGATCAATTCTTAAAATCATTACAACGACGTGGAAAGAGTTTTTCATTTTAAAGGAAAAAGGAGCTGCTTTCTGAGATTCTGCGGACAGAATTTGCATGCTTGAGGTGAACAGGACACTCGGTTGGCATGTGCTTACTGGCTAAAGCCCAGATTACAAAAGAACATAATGTTGTATTACCAGGTGTGTAGTAAATCGTGGAGCAGGTTAGCTTTCTCTTGCACACACTGGCTGTGATAAATGGGCTGCTCAACACCATCCGGCATATCCTGGAGCTGCCCCTAATGATTCCCTGGCTGACAATCTGTACAGAACATGAGGCACAGTCCCTAGGTGAACACTGCCCTCTAATGCACCACTGCCACATAACTCAGGCCTCAGCTGAGACCAAAGCCTTTCTGCCCCATTCTGATGAATGCATTAACTGCCTGTAAAGGATTTAAACACACATGCTATATTTTTTAATGCAGGTATAGAATTTCTTTGCTGATGTATCATGGTGGGCCTGGCTCATGGTATTTGTTTTAATTTTTCGCTGTTTAATTTTTTCCAGTATGAAGGCCAGGCAGAATCCATACTTGTCTTTGTCCAGCTACACACACAATAACATTGTAATCTTCCTCACCCGCATGGCCCTTCACACCCCTAGCTGGGAGGGCAGGTAGTGTCATGTTTGCTACCTTTTCATCCCCAGAAACCCTCTGAAAATGTCCCTGATCGTACAGACTCATGCAGCATTTACATGTGGTCTAATACTCCTCAGATCAAGAGGGGTCAGCGACCTTGGTTCTTGAAAAGCTATAGTCCTGCAGGACTAACAAGCTTCTGCAGAATTAGTGCAGAATTGAAACACTTTAACTGGTACTAATTTGGCACTTTAACTGGTACTAATTGCTCAACTGTTGACACACAATACTATCTTTGTTAAATTCATTTTCTCTTCCCAGTTTCTTCCTATCGTTCAGCTTTAGTAAAAATGTACAAAAACGGTTTTTAAACCGACAAAAACCGACTGAGGTTAGTAATGGGAGCACGCCATCTGCTGTTCAATAAGGGGAACACAGCCTTGCAGAGACCTGCTGTGGTGTTACGAAGCCGGGACGTATTAACCGTTGATCAGATAAAATGTATTGTCCCCTAGGGGTGACTTTTTGGGGGACACGCAGTGCTTACGTCTGAATTCATCACAAAACATTACACATCACGTCGATTTACATCTAACATTACACAAACTATTACAGCATAGTCATGACATATTGTAAATACTAAAGTCTGTTACAGCCTAATCGGTTTATACTCACTGTCTAATAGATAAGGGAAAAAATGAATATTTGTATCTATTCGATCTGCATTTGCCAGAGGGAAGAAGCTGATATTCAGAATTAAGAATGTGAAAAAGGATCCAATTTATTTATTTTTTAATCCACCTGTTTACGGGTGGAGCGGTGGCTCTGTAGTTAAGGATCTGCGCCTCTGGCTGGAAGGTTGCCAGTTCAAATCCTGTGGCCGGCAGAGGAATCCCACTCCGTTGGGCCCCTGAGCAAGGCCCTTAACCCCAGCTGCTCCGGGGGCGCTGTATAAATGAGCTTCTCTCTCTATCTGTGTATCTGTGTGTCTCGTGGAGAGCAAGCTGGGGTCTGCGAAAAGACAAATTCCTAATGCAAGAAATCGTAGGTGGCTAATAAAGTGATCTTATCCTAATCCTTTTTAAAAAAAAATACTGCAAGGAGGAGGGCTGCCTCACTCCCGAAACTCTCACTGAACACTGGTGGTGGTGGGGGGGATCCCTATTACGTGTAAAGAGCTCTGAGTGGAGTGCCCAGAAAAGCGCTATATAAGTGTAAGCAATTATTATTATTATGACATGTTTTATGTGAAAGTATTTGCCAACACTGAGATCTTCTACAGTATCATTATTCGGGAGTCTGGCAAGAAGCCATACCATGACAAGCCTGCTCCAGCCTCACAACTTAAGGATTTACTGAAACCAACACAGTCTTAAAATTCGTCTTTTTTTTTGACGAGCCCAGTCCTGTTTCAAAATTGTAACATTCTGAAATCCCAGAATTTCATTAGATTCATGTTACGTTTTGCAACTGACATCTTTAATTAGACCTAAAAACAGAGTTTCACAGAGGTACCAAAGAGGTACTTTTAAGTGACTCTGAAAAAGACCACCAACATCAAAAAGGCTCTTGGTCTACTGGCCTGCCAGTTCCACTTTTGACGTTTTATCACAGAAGTATTGTGATAGTAAAAATTCCCATTTTACCTTGCCGGCGGTTGTAGTACCACCTTGTGGTCTGGCTTTGTCAGATCTTGGAGTTGAAGCAGAGAAAGGAAACCCAGGCTCCTGCCGGGGCAGGTGTCGTTCGCGGACCAGTAGGTGGAGCTCTTCCCTCTGGACCGGAATTTAAAGAAACAAGCATCCCTACAGGGGGTGATTTTTTCCTTCGAAAACGCAATACAGTAAGGTTTGGAGGAGTAATTCAACTTAGGCCTGATTATTGCATCAATATAGATCCCACAGGTGGTTTTCGGGAGTGTAAAGACATCAAAGCCACTGCCTCCGTTAAAATTGCACTCTTATCTTGAGCAGGCCTGCTTGATGTTGTTTCTTAATTCAATTACTGCAGCATTTTCTCACTCCCCCACCTGATCTGCTGCGCAGAGGGGCTGCCGCGCTTCACGTAGGTGGGAGCTGCTCTTCAACAATGAATAAAGTGAGCACCCTCCTACGTTAAGCGTTGTGCAACGCAGGAAATTATAAATGGGTAAATAATGATAATAACGTCGACTTCAGCTTGACTGTAGACTTTAAAAGAGGTTATTTGTTAAATGGTTGTGTTGGAAAAGGTTGCTCGAAACCAGAAAAAGTTTAAAACGTCTTTGTCGCAATAAAAGCTTACGTCCACACCAAAACCGCCCTTTAAACCCTTCCGAACTACATTTCCCAGCGGCATCGCGCCAGAAATACGATGATGTAATCCCCGGTCCTAAGCCTGTTCTGGAACGCATACGCTCATTGGTCATTTTGTCTTTCAGTCCCACCCCCCCTCCCATCAGGAAGTAGGTGGATCCTGGAAGTGGGGATCGCAAGGCGGAAGTGAAGGCCGGAGCCTGTGATGAAGAATCGCAGAGCAGAGCTGCGAAATTGAAACAGAGAAGAAAATTCATAGCTTAAAAATTTATTCCGATAGAAGAACCGGAGTACGGAAAACCTAAGAGGGTCTTGCGCTCGGGTGCTGTCTAAAATCGTGAGTTACACCTTGTTGCGTCTCTTGCGTTTGCCGTTTCAAGCCGAGCTGTCCCCAGTATTCAGCTGCCCGTCCGGGCTCTGTTGCAGATTTATCCGCTGGTCTGTGATAAGGGGTTCCTGACTGTGTTGTGTCATAAAATATGCTTGAAGATGAATCGTTTTATTTTCTGTTTTCGTTTCACATGTCCGTTGCGCGGTGAGGCTGCTGTCTCCCTCTCGGCAGGCTGGTAGGTGTGAGTGGGTTGGGGGGGGGTTGTCTTGTGAGATAATATCGCTAAATAACGTTCAGAGCTATTGCTAAACCCCATTGAAGACAGTTCTGGGGCCGAAATTTCTACTTCTTGTATTAGGGAGTTATCTACATACCGCTATTCTCACCTCTTTAAAAAAAATGTGCCCGTGTTAAATCTGTACAGGGGCAAAATAATATCTAGAAAACGTATTAAACCCCTCGATTGTTCCTGACGTGTAATAGGAGTCATACGGTCATTGTACAGCCGCAGAGGTTAGTAGCTCATAGTTCCTCATTTAAAAACTAAAACCAAAATATTCTCCCGTGTTTCGCTCCGTACACGGTAGCAGGTACAATAACTACGCTTGCTGTCTTCAAATGTCTCAGAAGAGGTTTAAATTTAATTTTTAGGTGTTACCCCCCCAATGCTGCGAGTCTTTTTTTTTCAGGCAGACAAGAACAAATTAATTAATAAACAGAAAGTGACCTTTTATTCCCTGGGAGTTGCTGGTTTCCCGTGGTCCCGGCATGTTGAGTGCGCACAAACAGCGATGTAAATCAATAACTCGGGATCATATGAGAAAGTTGCTGAACTTTTGCTTTATGATTCATTGGCTTACGAAACCTTTGCACGAGTTCTATTCCCAGAACCTGTTTCTTTTCTCGGCGCTTATAGCTGTATTGTCACTAGGAGACAGGGCCTCTTGCTACAAGTTTAGAAAATTTAAATTTGTCAGGTCGACAAGCCCTACAATGTGACTGGATCAATGCTTAAGTGCCATATTTCCAATAATATTTCCAAAGGACTGATTATTCCTGCTCTGCTTTCTTATAAGTGCTGTAATGAAGACCTTAAAAAGCACTGGGTGTAGAAGAGAGTTTGGAACACACATGCACAGCGAGCGTTTGTCCGAAATGAGAATTTCTAACACAGATTCAACCCAGCAGTGTTTTCTACAACAGTGACACAAGCCAGAAGCACAAGTGAAAACGACATGAAAGTGCATTTAAAACTGAGAACAGGAGGCATGTCTTTAACCAAAGTGTTGTGGGAGTGTGGAACAAGCTACCCAGACATGTTGTTGAAGTCTGTACCCTGGTTTCTTTCAAGAAATGACACCTTTGGATTAGTTACCCACTAGCTACTAATGCCCTCCTCTCATTTGAATCAGTGAATCTTTGTCTGCTATGGTGCCCTTTGTATGGTTTGCCAAAGGGAGCCTTTCAGAATTATACAGCAGCTGACGTTGTACTGCAGAAGCAGACCTCATGGGCAAAGAGGAAAGGGTTAAATAGATGCCCCTCCTCCCACTTTGTGATATTTATGGACCAGAAATGAGCTCATGGTGTATTCTGAAGAATCATGGACAATCTCGTTAATGTCAAGGGTGCAGATGAGGCTAGTTGCAATGATATTACAATGTAATGTTATCACATAACATTGTCAGCATCATTTGCCAGCAGTGATCACATCCTTACACAATATTTTACTGCTGCTTGACACCCACAAGCATGGTTAGTGTCCCCCCAGAATGTGCATGTGGTCTGTTCCTGTAAGAGCCTGCTTTCGTTCAGGTGTAGTTTAATGCTTTTGAACTGCTAGATCCATTCCAGCACAAGACATCGAGCAGCCAGCTCTTTCAGTGTAGAGTGGTCTGTTCCTCTTAGGAGCTGGTTTGCAATGAGCGGGTTCAGAGTGAGAAAGGTTTGGGCAGACTCCGTTATGTTCATGGTCTCTCTTCTCCTGGCTGCAGGCAAATCCCCACTCTAGCTGTTTTTTGAAAGTGTCTGTTGTTACAAGATGAAATGCCTTTTGTCAGGATGATCAGTGATTTGATCATTTCCTTACAGTTTGTGTTGTGGTCGAACGTTTTTAAATCAAGTGCAAAAGCAACCATTTCTGCCGTTCAAGAAGGCCAGTTTTCTTTCTGACATGACTCGCTGCATCATAGAATGTGACCTCAAGACCCTAAATAGAGACTCAGCTGATTCTGAAGCCTTTTAGAAAGATCTATGATAGTGCATAGAAAATAAGTGGCAACAAAGAGCTGATCAGTTGGACTGATTCATCCAGGTGTCAGTTGGAGTGGACTGTTGCATATGTTTTAATAGTTTATTTTGATCATTTCAACCTGATTTTTAATATAGATGTTTGTTGTTTTATACCACAGTGTGAATGTGGTTAAATGTAATCGGAAGTGACTGGGTGTGAAATAACCTGTTTCTCACAGTCCTACTGGGCTGTGTTGCTAATTGTCTCTGGCAAACGCAGACATGCCAAGCTGGATTAGGAAAACATCATGCTGCATCAGATCTGGGCATCTGAAACGGGTTCCAGGGCCCCTGTCCTTTTTATCTTTTCTACCAGCAGCACTTGAAATCATCCTGTATAATTCATTAATTCAGGAATTTCAGCAAAGAGTATGACTTTGGTAAATAAGGGAGATGCAAGGCTTAGGGATGATGAAGATGTTAAGAGCAAAGTAGAACTAGTCCAACTAAGCAATGCAGACGTTTTGCCCAGTGTGAAGTTATTTAATATGATTTAAAATGACGGGGGTTATGATCTCGAGGCTGCCTTCTGCATTAGGAAAAACATCAAGGCTCCTTGGCTTGTCCTTATATGCCACAACCTGAGAGCCAGCTTATCTCGACTGTGTGTCTAACAGTGTGACAGGCCCAAACCACTATATTTGGATCAACTGGTTGGCTGTCAGATCTGAAGGAATGGCTGAGGTTGTTGAGTCACTCGTGACGCAGAACAGAAGACTTCCTTTATGTGTAGCTAATATGTCGGTTTCTAAAGGAATTGGCGCAGATCTGCTTCTGAATTCCCCTGTGCAGGGCCTGACTCAGGTTTTAACTGGTGTAGAGATACCTCCTAGGAATTTGCTGCACTTGCAAGTCCGTTGTAGAAACCGGATTTTTGACTTGTTGTGTGATTGCTGGGAAGCCTCCTGGATTTGGGAACTGAAGTCTTGACATTCATCAGATTATTCCATATTTGTGAGCTGTTTCCTTTTAACGTGCCTGTGAGGTTTTTTTTTCTAGTCTGGTGACGCATGAGCATTAAGTTTTGTTTAATGTAGACAAGAGCAGGGCTTTACATGCAGGTAGCTAAACCGTAAACTATAAATACAAAATTGGAAAGGCTAAATGTGAACAAGACTTGGATGTTTAAGACAAAGTGAGGATAAATAGTTAAAAGTGCGGAGATTTTATATTAAAATGATATAACATGTCAGTAAGGCCTCATTTAGTATCTTATGTACAGTCTTGTTCACTGCAATACAGGTAAGAGGTTGCTGCTCTGGAATCAGTGGGATTCATTTCAAGGCCTAAGGGAATGCCCTATACTGACAGGCCAAAGGAACTGTATCTTTATTTTTAACAGAAAAGACTTCTACAGGCAACCTTATCAAAGTCTACCTAGTGCACTCCTTCAGGATGGACAGTGAAACATGAAACAAGTGGTAACTGTGTAGAAGTGTGTATACAACTGAACAGGAGGCACTTCTTTACGCAAAGGGTGGTGGGGGTCTGGAGCGCGCTACCCAGCTGTGTTGCTGAAGCTGATCCCCTGGCCTCCTAAAGGAAACAGCTGGGTGAGATCCTTGGAGTAATTAATTACTATCTTCCAAATGAGCTGGGTGGACCTTGTGCCAGTCCTTTGTTCACAAAGTTTGCAGACTTTGCATTGTCATAGCCACAAGTCTCCCCTGTCCATTGCAGTCATTTCTGCTGCTGTGGAGCAATGGTGTTGTTGGAACAGCCAATCTGTGGTGTTTCTTCAGAAGATCTGCTCTCACATGTGACCTTTGCCTGTCCTTTGTTGCCAGAGGCACGGTGTGACTTTTCTGTCCCCTGTGCCTTTATATGGGCTTCAACCTTCAAGAGGAGGGGGAAGGCTTTTTTTTTAGAGCTTTTTTTACTGTGCTGCTGCAGCTTATCCCTTTCATCACAGACCTGTGTTCGCTTAGGCTGCTGCCTTCAAATAGGATTCTTTGCTAATGGCCGATTCTTTGCTGGTTTTTCCATGCTGGCCCAGGGGTGAGTTTTTTTTTTGGTGCAGTGATCCAAGGAAGAGAACCTGGCAGCTGGGGGGGGGGATTTTGAGGAGTTTGTCAAGCAGCTTTGGCTTCTATTCTATCCGAATATTGGAGGCTGATCTGTAGATCAAGGGCCAGCTGGTGAGAGTGTGGGTCGCAACAGTGAGATCCAACAGTTTGTGCCGATGAGCCGTCTCCTCCGATCGGTAAAGTGTACTGTACGGACCTTGCGATACAAGAATATTTAACCAAAGTACGAAGAAATCTGTCTTGGTCTTGCAGATTATCTTTGGCTGGTTTGCTTGTGTTCACATGTTCTGGGCCCCACTCTTGTTCTGCATGTGTCAGGTCTGCCGCCTCCACAGCAGAGCGCTCTGAGCCAGACCTGCTAACTGGTGTCCCTGCCATTGCAGGGTTCTGGACAGGGGAGCTGCAAAGCCAGGCCAGATGAAAGCTCTCCTGACTTCAGAACGACCTTCTGGAAACCAGATGTGCTGCTATTTTCCACTCATTGATTCGTTTTCACGTAGTTGACACATGGGGTTTCGCATTGTATAGATGTTGCACAGGTGTAACGGCAACAGCCCGTAAGTTTAATCTGAACTTGGTTGTCCCACGTTGAAATAAGTAAATGCCGTTGCTTTTGCGGTCACTGCTGCGAAGGCAGTGGGTGAGACCAACGCTATGAGGGCTAGTTTGTAAAAGTGTCGTCCCCTG